AAATAAATAAACATCTATTGTATGTGCTTTGACTGTACAGCGGGTCACATAAGTTATACTGTCAATATTGAGGGTTTATTGTTGCTTTCCACTTGGTATGAGCTGGGGAACAAGTCGTAGAAGTCCTGTGCTAGTTTCAGTGAAAACAGTCATTGCAGTGCAGAAACAGGCTGGCCCTCTCTGTGGTTTCCTTAACTTGTTAAAATATCTCTCACAATATGTTAAAAAAAGAAATGCACAACTCGAAGAACTTTAAGTGGTAGGATTTTCATCTGTTGCCATCTTGCAAAACTCTTCTAACCTTCATAAAATCCATGATGTATATGTATACAGTATATGTATATATGTATATGTTTAAATGTAGTCTTTAATCTGCAGCATATACCTCATAGATCCTCACCCTGATAGGCCTACACATATTCATCTCAGGAGTGGGGCTCATTAAACTAAATCCCTGAGCTCGGCTTCATTCCCAGCAGACTACAGTCGCTCACCCCTTACAGCTCTCCTCTCTGGCCTCTTTGATCTGCCGCAGGATGCTTTTGGCGTGGAGGAAGGGCAGTCGGTCAGTGGTGCTGCGCACCACCACAAATCCATCTGCCCAGTTCACAGGCTCCTCCAGGATACATCTGCTGCTTCCACTCTGACACTGCAAAAGGTGGATGTGGAGATCAAACGCAGTGGCACCTCGTCTATCTATTGATCTGACTACAGCAGCTATGAAGAGTTTTAAACATAGGACACCAGTAGGACAACAGTAATGAGAACCGTAAAACATTTGCCAAAAAAACAAGAAGCGTGCCAAAAGAGACAATACATTAGCTACAGCACAGTATGCAGCAGAGTCACAGCACATACAGTTATATAAGAATATGGAGTTTTGGGAGTTTGGTGGTGAAGAAAACTATGTGTGCTCACTGTAAACCTATTCTGTTGTTGTAATAGTCGCAACATAACCCTTTAAAGGCTGAGGATGATCTCAGCTACATGGTACTGTTATAATAATAATAATAATAATAATAATAATAATAACAATAATACCTTCAAACCAAAGCATAAATTGGTACATATCCCTATGCTATTGAAACATATTATTCTATAAATGGACATCAATTTATGGTATAAATAATATGCAAGGATAAATAAAAAATGTTTAGACTATAAAAAGTAATATATGCAACGACTCAAATGTTACCCAATAAACATTAATACAAGCAGAGATTTCAACATCGTAAATAAAACTGCACAAAGCTTCCTTACCAAGAGGCAATGAGCACAGCATGGTGTCAGTTCAGTCAATCTATGAAACTGTGATTACTCTAATTATTGTGGTGCATGATTGCTCAGAGGGGGCAAACAAGCTAATTCATTTAGGCCAGAAGTGAAAATGTTAGAAAATGTTTACCCTTCTGCAAACTGTAATTCCATTCATCCAGCTTGTAAGATAAATACTATGAAAAGGAGTGAAAAGAAGGTTTTGTTGAGTCACCTTAAACTGCTTAATATAAATAAAGTGTGAGATACAGAACAGAAACACAGTGGAAATCCTATGAGAGCAATATATGATAATGTTGTTCTATGATATAATAACATTACTGGTTTAATGAATGTATTTGCATACAGGCAGGAATCTCAGCAGAACACCAAAGAGAGCATGAGAGTAAGAAAGTCATTGTACAAAACCTTCGGCTGCACATATGCACAGAAAATATGTATTTTGCATATTGTGTATTTAATATATTGACATACTTAATAATACAGCATGTCGGTATGTCAATGTGTTTTTAATATATTCCAGAACATAACAAATATAGCCACTTTTCATAAAAATGTTCTATACACTTGATATCTGAGTATAAAATAAATATACATACACATACATATACATATACATACATACATATAATATTATTTTATTTAACTGTAAATTCAACTTTTGTTATATAAAGAAAAAATAACACAATACTGAAATGTATTGAAAATAATTATTTTCTTCCACATATTTAATGATATTCAATGTTGTACATTATATTATTCAATATACAGTCTATCAATGTAAGGTCAATATAGGTTAGGCATGTGTTGAATCTCCACAACAAAAATCTTAATATTCTTTCCTAAAATGTCCAGTAATTTCACTGAAATGTCGTCTAATTTCCTCTCAGCTACATCCTCTAGTTAGCTTCAGGGGACACAAGTCAGTTACAAGTCACTACCATCAGTTTTCATCTATCCTCACGAGTGTGTTGATCAGAAGCTACATAATTCTATTAATATAATATGTATTGCTAATCTGTCATTAGCATATGTCTTGGTTTAACATAAACTCAAAATGTTGCATTATATTTATTCTATAATGGTAGTATATCAGTTCAGTATATCAGTTTATCAGATAAACCTACTGATAAACCTACATATGCAAAGTTGTCACACTTTTCACCCATTTACAGTAGAGTACATCAGGTCAATCTTTACAGTAAAAACAGCGTCAGTGTCTACTGTTCGCGCCTGTTTTGGCAGCACCCTCGCTCCCTATAGAGCACGCATGATATCATCAATGTTGGTGTAAGTGTGAAATGGGCTTGAAGTCTTCTTCCTCTTTTTTGTCTTCTGTATGCTACCGACCACTCTACGGACTGCACAGACGAGCGTTTGGAAGAGCTGCTTCACCACCACACATCTCCCCTGTGAGAACTGAAAACCTCTAGAGTCTCTGCTCCTTCTCAGCCAGTGAGAGAGGTTTTCCAAATAGTGCTGGCAAAAAGGTCCATCAACACAATAAAGATGATACAGACATGGTTTTAGTCATAGATACTGATAATAACAAGCCATATTTAAAAAAGAATGTGTACAATATTTCTGTATTTCTCTGCAAAACATAACATACATGCTGTGCATTATGCTTTAAATACTACAAATGTCATTGGGTTGTAAAACCAAGATAGAGCTGTATAGATATATTGTGAGCCATTGGGAAATTCAATTAAAAAGCATGTCTTATCCACTATCACCACTGCTTAAGCAACTTTTTACATTGTAAATTGTAGAAAATCTTACTTGAGATGTTAGGATCCACAGAAACTGGTGATACTACAGCCATGTTACAGCTGCAGCATTCAATCAACACACTATTAAATGTAACATGTCAGTTGACCTCAGTGAGTTTCCCTCTTGCCCCCCCCATCACAGCACAAAGAGACTCTAAACTTTGATTTCACAGACTGCTTCACTGGTCAGCTTTTTCTCTCAGTATGTTTATGTCTGCCCTTTTCATTGTTCACTAAAGGTCACAGAAGTGTCTCATCATTATCCTGTAATGTTTTA